TAGATGAAATGGATTCAGGCACCGCATCAAATTCATAGATGAAATGGATTCATGCACCGCATCAAATTCATGGATGAAATTAATTCAGGCACCGCATCAAATTCATAGATGAAATGGATTCAGGCACCACATCAAATTCATGGATGAAATGGATTCAGGCACTGCATCAAATTCATGGATGAAATGGATTCAGGCACCGCATTAAATTCATGGATGAAATGGATTCAGGCACCGCATAAAATTCATGGATATGAAATGGATTCAGGCACCGCATCAAATTCATGGATGAAATGGATTCAGGCACCTCATCAAATTCATGGATGAAATGGATTCAGGCACCTCATCAAATTCATGGATGAAATGGATTCAGGCACCGCATCAAATCAATGGATGAAATGGATTCAGGCACAGCATCAAATCCATGGATGAAATGGATTCAGGCACCATATCAAATTCATGGATGAAATGGATTCAGGCACCGCATCAAATTCATAGATGAAATGGATTCAGGCACCGCATCAAATTCATGGATGAAATGGATTCAGGCACCATATCAAATTCATGGATGAAATGGATTCAGGCACCGCATCAAATTCATGGATGAAATGAATTCAGGCACCGCATCAAATTCATAGATGAAATGGATTCAGGCACCGCATCAAATTCATGGATGAAATGGATTCAGGCACTGCATCAAATTCATGGATGAAATGGATTCAGGCACCGCATCAAATTCATGGATGAAATGGATTCATGCACCGCATCAAATTCATGGATGAAATGGATTCAGGCACCGCATCAAATTCATGGATGAAATGGATTCAGGCACCTCATCAAATTCATGGATGAAATGGATTCAGGCACCGCATCAAATCAATGGATGAAATGGATTCAGGCACCGCATCAAATTCATGGATGAAATGGATTCAGGCACCGCATCAAATTCATGGATGAAATGGATTCAGGCACCGCATCAAATTCATGGATGAAATGGATTCAGGCACCGCATCAAATCAATGGATGAAATGGATTCAGGCACCGCATCAAATCCATGGATGAAATGGATTCAGGCACCATATCAAATTCATGGATGAAATGGATTCAGGCACCGCATCAAATTCATAGATGAAATGGATTCAGGCACCGCATCAAATTCATAGATGAAATGGATTCAGGCACCGCATCAAATTCATGGATGAAATGGATTCAGGCACCATATCAAATTCATGGATGAAATGGATTCAGGCACCGCATCAAATTCATGGATGAAATGAATTCAGGCACCGCATCAAATTCATGGATGAAATGGATTCAGGCACCGCATCAAATTCATGGATGAAATGGATTCATGCACCGCATCAAATTCATGGATGAAATGGATTCAGGCACCGCATCAAATTCATGGATGAAATGAATTCAGGCACCGCATCAAATTCATAGATGAAATGGATTCAGGCACCGCATCAAATTCATGGATGAAATGGATTCAGGCACTGCATCAAATTCATGGATGAAATGGATTCAGGCACCGCATCAAATTCATGGATGAAATGGATTCATGCACCGCATCAAATTCATGGATGAAATGGATTCAGGCACCGCATCAAATTCATGGATGAAATGGATTCAGGCACCTCATCAAATTCATGGATGAAATGGATTCAGGCACCGCATCAAATCAATGGATGAAATGGATTCAGGCACCGCATCAAATTCATGGATGAAATGGATTCAGGCACCGCATCAAATTCATGGATGAAATGGATTCAGGCACCGCATCAAATTCATGGATGAAATGGATTCAGGCACCGCATCAAATCAATGGATGAAATGGATTCAGGCACCGCATCAAATCCATGGATGAAATGGATTCAGGCACCATATCAAATTCATGGATGAAATGGATTCAGGCACCGCATCAAATTCATAGATGAAATGGATTCAGGCACCGCATCAAATTCATAGATGAAATGGATTCAGGCACCGCATCAAATTCATGGATGAAATGGATTCAGGCACCATATCAAATTCATGGATGAAATGGATTCAGGCACCGCATCAAATTCATGGATGAAATGAATTCAGGCACCGCATCAAATTCATGGATGAAATGGATTCAGGCACCGCATCAAATTCATGGATGAAATGGATTCATGCACCGCATCAAATTCATGGATGAAATGGATTCAGGCACCGCATCAAATTCATGGATGAAATGGATTCAGGCACCTCATCAAATTCATGGATGAAATGGATTCAGGCACCGCATCAAATCAATGGATGAAATGGATTCAGGCACCGCATCAAATCAATGGATGAAATGGATTCAGGCACCGCATCAAATCCATGGATGAAATGGATTCAGGCACCGCATCAAATTCATGGATGAAATGGATTCAGGCACCGCATCAAATTCATAGATGAAATGGATTCAGGCACCGCATCAAATTCATGGATGAAATGGATTCAGGCACCATATCAAATTCATGAATGAAATGAATTCAGGCACCGCATCAAATTCATAGATGAAATGGATTCAGGCACCGCATCAAATTCATGGATGAAATGGATTTATGCACTGCATCAAATTCATAGATGAAATGGATTCAGGCACCGCATCAAATTCATGGATGAAATGGATTCAGGCACCACATCAAATTCATAGATGAAATGGATTCATACACCTCATCAAATTCATGGATGAAATGGATTCAGGCACCGCATCAAATCAATGGATGAAATGGATTCAGGCACCGCATCAAATCCATGGATGAAATGGATTCAGGTACCATATCAAATTCATGGATGAAATGGATTCAGGCACCGCATCAAATCAATGGATGAAATGGATTCAGGCACCGCATCAAATCCATGGATGAAATGGATTCAGGCACCATATCAAATTCATGGATGAAATGGATTCAGGCACCGCATCAAATTCATAGATGAAATGGATTCAGGCACCGCATCAAATTCATAGATGAAATGGATTCAGGCACCGCATCAAATTCATGGATGAAATGGATTCAGGCACCATATCAAATTCATGGATGAAATGGATTCAGGCACCGCATCAAATTCATGGATGAAATGAATTCAGGCACCGCATCAAATTCATGGATGAAATGGATTCAGGCACCGCATCAAATTCATGGATGAAATGGATTCAGGCACCGCATCAAATTCATGGATGAAATGGATTCAGGCACCGCATCAAATTCATGGATGAAATGGATTCAGGCACCTCATCAAATTCATGGATGAAATGGATTCAGGCACCGCATCAAATCAATGGATGAAATGGATTCAGGCACCGCATCAAATCAATGGATGAAATGGATTCAGGCACCGCATCAAATCCATGGATGAAATGGATTCAGGCACCGCATCAAATTCATGGATGAAATGGATTCAGGCACCGCATCAAATTCATAGATGAAATGGATTCAGGCACCGCATCAAATTCATGGATGAAATGGATTCAGGCACCATATCAAATTCATGAATGAAATGAATTCAGGCACCGCATCAAATTCATAGATGAAATGGATTCAGGCACCGCATCAAATTCATGGATGAAATGGATTTATGCACTGCATCAAATTCATAGATGAAATGGATTCAGGCACCGCATCAAATTCATGGATGAAATGGATTCAGGCACCACATCAAATTCATAGATGAAATGGATTCATACACCTCATCAAATTCATGGATGAAATGGATTCAGGCACCGCATCAAATCAATGGATGAAATGGATTCAGGCACCGCATCAAATCCATGGATGAAATGGATTCAGGTACCATATCAAATTCATGGATGAAATGGATTCAGGCACCGCATCAAATTCATAGATGAAATGGATTCAGGCATCGCATCAAATTCATGGATGAAATGGATTCAGGCACCATATCAAATTCAGGAATGAAATGAATTCAGGCACCGCATCAAATTCATAGATGAAATGGATTCAGGCACCGCATCAAATTCATGGATGAAATGGATTCAGGCACCACATCAAATTCATAGATGAAATGGATTCATACACCTCATCAAATTCATGGATGAAATGGATTCAGGCACCTCATCAAATTCATGGATGAAATGGATTTATGCACTGCATCAAATTCATAGATGAAATGGATTTATGCACCGCATCAAATTCATGGATGAAATGGATTCAGGCACCACATCAAATTCATAGATGAAATGGATTCATACACCTCATCAAATTCATGGATGAAATGGATTCAGGCACCTCATCAAATTCATAGATGAAATGGATTCAGGCACCGCATCAAATTCATAGATGAAATGGATTCAGGCATCATATCAAATTCATGGATGAAATGGATTCAGGCACCTCATCAAATTCATGGATGAAATGGATTCATGCACCGCATCAAATTAATGGATGAAATGGATTCAGGCACCGCATCAAATTTATGGATGAAATGGATTCATGCACCGCATCAAATTCATGGATGAAATGGATTCAGGCACCGCATCAAATTCATAGATGAAATGGATTCAGGCACCTCATCAAATTCATGGATGAAATGGATTCAGGCACCATATCAAATTCATAGACGAAATGGATTTAGGCACCGCATCAAATTCATGGATGAAATGGATTCATGCACCACATCAAATTCATGGATGAAATGGATTCAGGCACCGCATCAAATTCATAGATGAAATGGATTCAGGCACCGCATCAAATCCATGGATGAAATGGATTCAGGCACCGCATCAAATTCATGGATGAAATGGATTCAGGCACCGCATCAAATTCATAGATGAAATGGATTCAGGCACCGCATCAAATTCATGGATGAAATGGATTTATGCACTGCATCAAATTCATGGATGAAATGGATTCATGCACCACATCAAAAGGCTAGAAAGCCTAAATGTATTATAATTTGGTTTAGATACACTTTATGTTAATAAGAAATCTTGAATTCTCTTTCACTAAAATATATAAAAACATACATGGCTATCGTACACTAATAAATTTAAAATAATGCCTAAAACAATCCATCATTTCCTGATTTCGTAAGCTATAAATCATGGGATTAAGAAGAGGAATCACAACCGTGTATAACAGAGAGAGCACCTTGTTTAACTTTGGCAAATTTTGCTGTGAAGGAACCATATAAGTAATAAATACTGATCCACAATACATAGAGACAGAAGCTAGATGTGAACTGCATGTGGAGAAGGTTTTCTGTCTTCCAGATCTGGTGGAAATTCTCAGGATAGTGGAAAATATGGAGATATAGCTCACAATGATCAAGATAAATGGAACAATGCTCAGAAACAAGGTTATGAAGAGAACCTCCATCTCTATCAATGATGTGTCTGAAGAAGACAGCTGCAGAAGTGGAGCCAGATCACAAAAGAGGTGGTCAATAATGTTCAAACCACAGAACTGTAGGTGGCAGATCGTAATTGTTAACGTGACCATCACTGTAAATCCAACCGCCCAAGCCCAAGCCACCAGATGGTTGCGAGTGTTAATATTCATGATGGAAGAGTATCTCAGAGGGTTACAAATAGCCAAATGCCTGTCGTACGCCATAACCATTAAAAGAAGACCCTCTACTGTACCTGATGAAGCTCCCAGGTAGTGCTGAACGATACAACCATAGAATGACATGGAGCCACCATTCCCCCATAAAATGTACAGAATGTTAGGTGTGATCGTGGTGGTAATAAATATTTCACAGGCAGATAGGTTACAAATAAAGAAGTACATGGGAGGATGAAGTCTTGGACTGGTAGATATCAAGGTTATAATTAACATGTTCCCTGTTACTGTAGTCAAATATACAACGAGGAACAAAACAAAGATAATATTTTTTATGTGTTGGAGATTGCCAAACCCTACAAGAAATAACTCAGTCACCATTGTTTTGTTCTGTCCACAGGTGGCCTGTTGGTAGAGTTTACAGGTAGCAACCATTAATATGTATAGTACAGAAAATATCCACTAAATAATGATAACAGACAACTTTAATGAGTTTCATTACAGAATGAATGAGACACGAAAGGCTTTGTTGTGTTTGACACATTTGATTAGTGTTTTCTCAGATTTATGTCATATCCAGGGCTGTGGATAAGGGGGTGCCACCAGTCCTTCTGTATGGGGCCAAGGCCAGCATGGGGGCCCAGGCAGCTGGGGAATTGGATGTGGGCAGGGAGGGTGATCTGCGCGACGGAGGGGGGGAACTGATTCCCCATGTGTATCTTGCTTCTTCTTCTCTCCCTCCCACCTGCTTTCAGCTGCTACAGAGAGAGCCATACAAGGGATTGGCTTGAGTTATTGCCCCCCCCATCACACTTATCACCTTCCCTGTGCACTATAAGTTTCCCCCTGCTGGCCAGGCTTTCCTGTGTGCCCCCCCCGCCTAACAACCCTACGGTGCTGCCGGCTTCCCTTCCCTTGTTCCCATCAGCAGCTGTAAGCACACAATAGGATCCTTCAGTATGAAGAATGTTGGAAGGGGCTGGCAATATGTCATACTGACCAGCCCCTTTTTTTCCTGAATTAACACAATGAATGATCACTCACTGTTTTCATTAATATCTAAAGCATAGTAAATTGTGTCTATCTGGGGGGCTTGTCAGTTTGGATGTATGATGCCCGTGATTTCTAACGGCAGCCCTGGTCTTACCCCACACTTACTTCTAAACCTAGATCATTTATTACACTTCCCAAATAAAGCTGACCCCTCCATTTGTACAGGAGATAATCCTAAAGTGGAACTAAAGGGTGAATATTTACCTATCCAACAGTCCCTCACTGGAATCTTCTTATGAGTTCTGGTCTTTGGGCCTCTTTATTGGCTGGCGGGGATGATGTAATTCCTGCGCATGAAGACATGGCATCCAGACATGGAGGTATCAGCCCAACACTGTAAGCTGAGCTAGGCATGCTTACTTACAGCTTGATGCCTTTGAATTTGATGGTCATAAAAATTAACAAGCTGAGACTTGGAAGCTCAGAAAAAAATGTGTATTTAGGTTTAATTTGTGCTGCAGATTTGCCCTTCTGGCTGAAAAGTACACTTAGAATACCGAAACAAGGGCTAAGTACCCAGTGTTGTACAATTCTCCTGGCAATTTAGCTGATATATAGGAAATTGGAATGAAGATTAATTGAAGATATTTTGGTTCTTTTTAGCCCATCTATACTGTTGTATCATCCCCAAAGTCCTACCTCATAAAAGCCATAGTCTTCATGTCTGTACTGACCAGAGCTTAAAGTTGAAATCAGCTAAATGTAATTTTGATAAATGCCTATATGTTTTGTTATGGTCTATAAACTGGAGGCTCTGGATGGACAGTTGGATAAATGGTTCTATATTTAGGATGTATCCGGTCTATAAACTGGAGGCTCTGGATGGACAGTTGGATAAATGGTTCTATATTTAGGATGTATCCGGTCTATAAACCAGAGGCTCTGGGTGTACAGTTGGATAAATGGTTCTATATTTAGGATGTATCCGGTTCATAAACCAGAGGCTCTGGATGGACAGTTGGATAAATGGTTCTATATTTAGGATGTATCTGGTTCATAAACCAGAGGCTCTGAATGGACAGTTGGATAAATGGTTCTATATTTAGGATGTATCTGGTCTATAAACCAGAGGCTCTGGATGGACAGTTGGATAAATGGTTCTATATTTAGGATGTATGTGGTATATAAACCAGAGGCTCTGGATGGACAGTTGGATAAAGGATTCTATATTTAGGATGTATCCGGTCTATAAACCAGAGGCTCTGGATGGACAGTTGGATAAATGGCTCTATATTTAGGATGTATCCGGTCTATAAACCAGAGGCCCTGGATGGGCAGTTGGATAAATGGCTCTATATTTAGGATGTATCCGGTCTATAAACCGGAGGCCCTGGATGGACAGTTGGATAAATGGCTCTATATTTAGGATGTATCCGGTCTATAAACCGGAGGCTCTGGATGGACAGTTGGATAAATGGCTCTATATTTAGGATGTATCCGGTCTATAAACCGGAGGCTCTGGATGGGCAGTTGGATAAATGGCTCTATATTTAGGATGTATCCGGTCTATAAACCAGAGGCCCTGGATGGGCAGTTGGATAAATGGCTCTATATTTAGGATGTATCCGGTCTATAAACCGGAGGCCCTGGATGGACAGTTGGATAAATGGCTCTATATTTAGGATGTATCCGGTCTATAAAACCGGAGGCTCTGGATGGACAGTTGGATAAATGGCTCTATATTTAGGATGTATCGGTCTATAAACCGGAGGCTCTGGATGGGCAGTTGGATAAATGGCTCTATATTTAGGATGTATCCGGTCTATAAACCAGAGGCCCTGGATGGACAGTTGGATAAATGGCTCTATATTTAGGATGTATCCGGTCTATAAACCAGAGGCCCTGGATGGACAGTTGGATAAATGGCTCTATATTTAGGATGTATCCAGTCTATAAACCGGAGGCTCTGGATGGGCAGTTGGATAAATGGTTCTATATTTAGGATGTATCCGGTCTATAAACCAGAGGCTCTGGATGGACGGTTGGATAAATGACTCTATATTTAGGATGTATCCAGTCTATAAACCAGAGACTCTGGATGGATGGTTGGATAAATGGCTCTATATTTAGGATGTATCCGGTCTATAAACCAGAGACTCTGGATGTACAGTTGGATAAATGGTTCTATATTTAGGATGTATCCGGTCTATAAACCAGAGGCTCTGGATGGACAGTTGGATAAATGGCTCTATATTTAGGATGTATCCGGTCTATAAACCAGAGGCTCTGGATGGACAGTTGGATAAATGGCTCTATAATTAGGATGTATCCGGTCTATAAACCAGAGACTCTGGATGTACAGTTGGATAAATGGTTCTATATTTAGGATGTATCCGGTCTATAAACCAGAGGCTCTGGATGGACGGTTGGATAAATGGTTCTATATTTAGGATGTATGTGGTATATAAACCAGAGGCTCTGGATGGACGGTTGGATAAATGGCTCTATATTTAGGATGTATCCGGTCTATAAACCAGAGGTTCTGGATGTACAGCTGGCCACTGGGACATAAAAGAATTACCAAAATTTTCTGTCCACTCTCTAAAATTAAGGAATTAAAGTGGTTGTAAGGGCAGAAGGTTTTTTATGCATGAAGGCAAAAAATCCTCTGTGTTCAGCAGTCCTCCCCCTTAATACTTACCTGAGCCTCAACGCCATCGAGCAATGTGAATTCCTGCCTCGGCTGTCGCAAGTCTTTACCTACTCATTGGCTCCTGCTTCTGTCAATCACAGCCAATCAGACAATGAGGAGAGGGAGGGGGTGGAACCAAGCTACAGCTCCATATGTGAATGTTCACACAGAGCAGTGAGTGCTCCCATAGCAAACTGCTTGACAGACAGGAACAGTCAGGAGAGACTGCGGGGGAACCTAGAAGAGGAGGATCCAGGCTGCTTTGTGCAAAACCACTACACACAGCAGGTAAGTATAGACACGTTTGTTATTTAAAAAAAAAAAAACCTTTTTAAAGATTATATAAATTTAGTTTCTTCCCCTATGGGTGGAAAGAAAGAAAGCAACTTGATTTCCCCAAAAACACAATCAGTGTTTGTGGGTAATAGCAGCGCTATTGTGTTCTGCTGACGGGGGTCACAGCGATCATTGCTGCCAGCTTCATCTGCCGGCAGTGATAGCATTAAAAAAATCAGACAAGCTGGTAGTACTGAAGTCAACTTCAATACAATCATCCTGCCCAAAGATGGATCAAATCTCGGCCGGTTCCTGCTGAATCGGACTATATTGGATCCATCTATGACCGACTTAAGTTAAAAGTGGTCAAAACTGAAAAGGTACACTTATACAATTCTGTTATAAAATGTAAAACAAAGTAATCTTAACAAAGATATGGCATCAAAATGCAATCTGAAATTCTTAAAAAGTTTTTTAGTCATAAGAGCAGAACAATAACAGCCGATTTTACATATAAATGAATGCACATTGTTATCGGGAACCTCCTAAAGGTAGCTCATCACGGCAAGAACACACCAGGTATAAACATACCATGCTGATGATCTTAGTCCTTTAGCCCTGTCTAGTCCATGATTCACACATAAGCTTCCTAACTCTCGGCCAGAAGACGTAAACATGCAAATAAACATAGAGGTGTATCCTGGTTCCAGCTGTCATATAATGAAAACTTGAACCCAGTTGTCACATTTTATAGTTTTTGATGCTTAATTATAAAGCCATAGGGAATACACAACAGAGATACAAATGACCCCGTGGGAGGCAATTAGATTTAAAATATCCTCATCTTATGGAATGTTTTCCAATCTGTTCAATGTATTTCATGGACAAAACAAATAAATAAACACATCAATCATGCATACACAGTATCTTGCTCTGCATTGGTATGTTATTGTCTATACATCCATGTCTAGACAGAAAAATCTCATGTCTTTAAGCTACGTGGTAAGTCAGGCTAAAAAGGATGCATGACCATCAAGTACGACCAGAAAACAAATTCAGCTTGTCCAGAGGAAGGCAAAGGCTTAACTCCATGGAAAGGCAAAATGTTCCTTTTCAGTTGGGCTGCCCCTGCACTGCAAGGGTTAAATGTCTGGTAATGTCTAGAGGACCACAAATACACTTTTGTTTATCCAGTCTTCCAGTCCTGCAGGTTCCCTGCAGCCTGTAAGGCTATTCCCTGCATGCTCTTCTCCCCTTTGCTCTGGTGGTTGCAGGTTCTCTGATATCACAATTGATATGATCCAGAAATATTTAGACAGAATAAAGATGAAGAAAGCCCCTGCCTATAGTTGGGAAGATACTGGAGAGTTTAATAAAAGACCACATAGATGAGTTCTTGCTGGAAACAAATATTGTAAGCCACAGAGAG